CCAAGTTCCTTCTTAGAACTCCGACAAATGAACCTGAAGAGCAAAAACATAAAACATTGATGACCCGATTCCTTCAAACACAGAGAATAGCAGCCCTTCCGAACCCGTTCCTCTGGCAGAAAAAATCTCCCCAAACAGAAAGTCACATGCATAGAGTTGCACCTATTCTCTGTCATTTTGTTTTTAAGTCCTGATCTTTGAGTTGTTGAGAGAGAGAGAAGAGGGGGGAGAGAGAGAGAGAGAGAAAAGCAGGTTCTAAGAAGAGTTCAAGGAAAAATCACACCATAGTCATTGTTTGTTGCTTCTGGTTATTGGCTACCTAAATTTTTTATGGCAATTCTTAAGTAAATGATATAAATTTGAGAAGAAGTTGTAATAGTTAAGTATTTGGCATAGATCAACTAGGGTTGAAACCCAGCTCCACTAGTTAGGAGTTATTGTGATTCTGTATAACGTAGTTAATCTGTCTGAATTTCACTTTCCTCACCTGTAAAATAGGGATTGTGATAGTAGCTACCTCATAGGGTAACTGGAGGTGTTACATAAGATGTATTGAAATTTATTGAGTACTTACCATGTGCAAAGCGTAGAAAGAGACAGCCTTTACATTTAGAAATAGAAGTTTTGTAATTGGTAAATTTGTAAGTTTGTGTAAATTCCTATACCCAGATGTCTTATTTCTTCCAAGTCCTTTCCCACAATAAAAAAATTAATATAATTCAAATTTAGGAGAGAAAAATAAATTCCTAAATGAAATTTATTTGTGTGGAATAGCTAATAAATGTTGATCTAAAATAATAAAGAAGTAATTATCTAGCCCTGGTTTTTATCTTAAGAAAATTCTTTTCTATATGAGACTTTATCTCTGGAAAGTTACCAAATATACTACAGATTTGCATAACAATCTCTTCCTTTTAATGAAGTACATAATACGTAAGCCTTAGCCTTAAGGCCCATCTTCAATGCTAAAAATGAATATTAAGTACATTCAGCATTATAATGAATAAAACCTGAATCTTTTAGAACCAAATGTTCATCCTGACTCCTCATATCATTTCAAATGCACTTTGTACTAATTGTTTTAAGAAAACTCTTTCTCCTGTATTAATATTTCAACTACTTAAAAATAGGTAAACTTTATTGTACATTATCACTTGAATAGACCAAATAATTTTTAGTGCCTCCCTAGACAATTGGCTTTCAAATTGAATCTTGATAATTTATTTTTAAAAGTAAAGAAAAATCATCAGCATTGAAATAGATTAAAATAGATGTCTTATTTAGAATTATAATAGGAATTCATTTTTTATATGTCACACTTAAAGCATGGTTATTATTTTAAAAAGATATTTCAGGCTGACATTAACATGGGTTTGTTAACAAGAAAAGTCACCGTGTAATAGTACGGTGATAAAGAATGAAGAGGGAAAAAAATGAAGAGAATATCTATTTTACTTTTTTTGAACCCATCTAAATGAAAAACTATTTTCACAAAGACAAATGGGACCCAGCTATGAAATTACCAGGCCCATATATTATGCAATAATAATTAGAAGTCATATGAGGAATATGTATAAAAAGTGAGTCCTCCAGCAAGTTGGAATCACTTTTTAAACAAGAGCTTCGTGAAAAAGAGTAACAAAAGTTGTCTTCATTTATATAGTTGAGAAAATGTTTCAGGCTTCCATTCAAGATGGCAGACCAAACCCACATTTATTACCTTTCCTCCTCAAATTCCACCAACAAATATTATTGAGCGTCTATGATGTAACAGGCAATCGAAATCAACATGCAAGGGATCCATCAGCAAGCCAGAACTTTGGGCAAATTCCCCAAACTCAGGAGACAGATGAATTACACTGGTAAACCAGAGACAGCCTCAAAAGTACAGCCATAAAAGATCCCAGGAAAAGAAGGTGGTAACTAATTTGCCCTGTGGGGCACTAAGGAAACTCAGGATCCTCTTTATTATCTAAAGCAGAGGTCAGCAAACTTCCTGTAAAGGGCCAGATAGTATTTTCAGCTGTGTAGATCATGCAGTCTCTTGAAAAAACTCAACTCTACCCATGTAGTGTGAAAGCCATCACAGAAAGTACATAGACAAGTGTGACCATGTTCCAGTAAAACTTTATTTAGAAAAACAGGCAGTATGGCAGTTTGCCAACCCTTGACCTAAAATTTAACCATTGTGGCTATATTATATGAACTGGGCAAATAAAAAATGGTTAAGGGGAAACTGGCCAGAATTTTGTCTCCAGTCCCAAGTCTTATTTGCACCCCAGGGCTGTCTGAATACCTTTCCCCACGCCTGGGTAACTGCTAGCACCCCCAGCATCCCCGCTGCCCATCAGTTATACGAGGCAAGTCTTGACATTTCTTTCTCCACCTTTTATCTTAACCAACAGCAAACTCTATCTATTTCACTGTTTAAGTGAATCAGTTCACTTCTCTGCCTCTTTACTGCCAACATTAGCATAAGCCACCTGGATTGCTGCAGTCACCTCCCATCTGACTGCTCTCTTCCACTCTCTAGTATCCTCTCCACATTTTTAGTCATTTGTTCATCTAGTATCTATCAAGTACCTACTATGTGCCAGTCACTCTTCTAGGTACTAGGGATAAATCAGTAAACAGAACAAATTTTTTTTAAATGCTGATCTCAGGGAGCTTATATTCCGGTGTATATGTGGGGTGGGTGTGGCAAGACAATAAAGAATAGACATATAATAGAATATGCTGGAAGGTGTTAAGGGCTATAGTAAAAAGCAAAATAAAAAAGGAGTAGAGTATGGGGCATCTGGAGAGCTGGGATCATTGCAAATTTAATTAGGGTGCTCAGGATAAGCCTCCTTGCAAAAGTGAGATTTGAGCAAATGCTTGAAGAAATAAGAGAGTCAGCTACTGGTTGTGTGTTTGGGAAAGAGCCTTCCTGACAAAGTTCCATGATAGGAGCATGCCCTGTGTGTTCAAGAAAGTTCCAGGAGGCCAGCGTGGATGGAGCAGAGCAGGCAGGAAGACAAGTGGTAGCAGTAGTCGATGAAGTGAAAGATCTAAAGGTCTCTGTGAAGGAAATGAAAAATCACTGCAGGGGGGCCGGCCTGGTGGCGCACTGGATAAGTGCGCCGCTTGGGAAGCGCGGTGGCGCTCCCGCCCAAGGGTTCGGATCCCACATACAGACCGGTTCCCGCTCACTGGCTGAGCGAGGCGCGGGAGCAACACCAAGGGTTGCGATCCTGTTGCCGGTCCCCGGTCCGGTGCGGGGGCAACACTGAGGGTTGCGATCAGTTGCCGGACACGGAAAAAGACAAAAGACAAAAAAAAAAAAAAATCACTGCAGGGTTTTGAGCAAAGGTCTAACTTACGTTTTGAAAGAGTAGCTGCGGCAGCCAAGTTGATGATAGGATGCAGAGGGCAAGGGTGAATCCGGGAGGACAGTCACGAGGCAATGACAGTGATGGAACCTAGGCTGGAGATGACAGGGGCTCAGAGCAAGAATGGTGGCCATGACAGAGGGCAACGTGGTCAGACATACGAGGATACTTCAAAAAGTTCGTGGAAAAATGGAATTAAAAGATAATATGAATCTTTCCACGAACTTTTTGAAGTACCATCATATTTCATTGTAATATATTCTATTTTATGTTATATTTTATTAAAATATATACTAATATATACACTAATAAAATATATATACTAATATATTTTAATAAATGGATTGAAATATATTTCTTGGTATAACTTGAAGCAAAGTCAACAAGATTTCCAGGCAGATGGGCCTTAGGTGTGAGAGAAAGAGACAGGTTAAGGTTGACTCCAAGGTCATCCTTGGAAGGATGGAGTTGCCATTGAGGAAAGAGGTTGGGTGGGCGCCTGAAGGAGTTTGGACTTGAATATGCTGAGTCACACTGCAGTGAGGGTCTTCTTCGTAAAAGCTACTCATGTAATGCTTCCCCCACCCCCCCGCCCCACAGTTACTTTCTCTCCTTCCCCAACAATGATAAAGACCAAGATCTTTAGTGTGGCCTGTATAGACCCTGCGTTTGGTCCCTGCCACCCTATGGCTCCATATTTCTTGGCTCATTTCTTGGACCACATTGGCCGTTCTGCAGTTCCTTGAACATTGGTGCTCTCCTCCATCTCCAGCACAAGCTGTCTCCTCTGCCAGGACACCCAGACACCCTCCACTTCGGTTGCCTCATTCAGTTAAATCCAGCTCAGGCTTCGGCTCTCATCACAGACTCCATGACTTTAAGGACACCTTCGGGTTTCCTTGTATGCTGTCTCATAGTACCCTAAATTTGTCTCCTGTCATTGTACAGTAATAGGATTATTTGATTCATGTCCTTCTTCCCACTAGACTGTGAGCTCCCAGAGGGCTGGGTTCACATCATTTTGCTCATCATTGTACCCCCAGTGCACACAACAGTTGGCATGTAGTAAGTGCTTAGTAAATACCTGTCAAATGGATGAAATACATGATGGTTTACCACCCACCTAAAAGAAAATATCAGTTTATACATTTACTCTCTTTCACAGTCTTTTGTATAGTTCTTGTATAAGGAGTACTGAACTAGAAAAAAATACAAAGGAAATAACACAACATAATCATTGTAATAATAATGATTAATATCATTCAAAGTTCATTATGCTCATTAAGGAGTCTCAGCTATGCATAACCCCTTTCCTGTAGAGTATGACTCTGCTCACCAGATTTCTGGTTCTCCTCAGAAACCAGAGTAAACTGCAGACTTGCATTGTCTGTCCCCTTGAAGATAGACTGCCATGTGACTTGTTTTGGACACTAAATATGAGCAAAAGTGATAGCATATCTATTACAGGCATAGGTATTTAAAATCTGGTGTGAAACCCTCTAGCTCTACCCACCTGTATTAGTTTCCTGTGGCTGCCATAAGAAATGTCCACAACTGGGTGGCTTAAAGCAGCAGAAATTTATTCTCTCATGTTCTGGATAAATCCAAAATCAAGGTGTCAAGAAGACTATGCTCCCTCTGAAAGCTCTAGTGGAGAACTCTTCCAAGTTCAGACGGTTGCTGGTAATCCTGGGTGTTCCTTGGCTTGTAGATTCCCCACTCCAGTCTCTGCCTCCATCTTCCCATGGCTTTCTCCTCTGTGTGTGTGTGTGTGTGTGTGTCCTTTGTGTCTCTGTATCCAAATCCCTCCCTCCTTTCTCTAGTAAAGAAACCAGTCATTGGATTTAGGACCCACCCTAATCCAGTATGATCTCATTAAAACTCAATCACATCTGCAAAGACCCTATTTCAAAATGAGGTCACATTAACAAGTACCAGGGTTATGACTTGAAAATAGCTTTCTGGGGGACACGATTTAATCCACAATACCACCCTATGCTGGCAATTGTGAAGCACATGTTGTAATGGAGCCTGCATCAGCCTGGGTCTCAGAGTGACTGCCATGAGACAGGTTTGTGTCTCCCAGCTCACCTCATTTCAGTCACATGTCCCCTGAGTAGAGTGGCAGGCTGAATCACCTACACCAGGTAAAGTGTCTCTCTCTCTTGCTTTTTGCTGACTACATTTACTTGATCCATGTAAATTAAATGTGTCTACACTGTATATCATTTGCTTGTAACCTGTCTCTGGACTGTCTTCCATAGGACACATTCCTGTTGATCACCAATTATTTACTGAGTGTCAGCTAAATGTTTATCATTGTGCTGTGTGCCAGGAGGGATGTGTGGGAAATTGGACACAAGATCCTAATCACAAGGAGTAAGCAGTCTAATCTGGTGGACAAGACAGAAGACATATATTAGTGTTGGCTGAAACTTTCAGGGGAGACCAAATAATAAGACTTATAAGAAGTAACCCTAACTGGACTTCCAGTCTGTTCCAGGCACCATGCTAAGCACTTTGCAGGGTATTATTCCCTTTAAGCCCCGTGGGGGTTATATCCCAGGAGGTTGGTATTTTATAACCATTTCACAAAAGAGGAAACAAAGGCTTAAAAAAGTTAAGTGACTTGCCCTGTGGTCATACAGGGTTCCAATCGAGGTCAGTGTTACTCACAAACATGGGTCCTGTGAACTATCCTGTACTATACCTTCAATTAAGCTGGGCGTTGATGGTCTGCTACAATATGGTAGTCTACACTCTACAACTCGCAAGGTTCAGTTCTCTGCCTACAGTTATCCCTGGGCTGAACTGATCATATGGCAATATCAACAGGTTGCAGTAACAAAATAGAATAAACTACTCTTCAACCTCGACTTCGCTGTTAGTTGGTTGGCCTTCCTACCTTATTATATTTTTTTTTTGTCTTTTGTCTTTTTCCGTGTCCGGCAACGGATCGCAACCCTCAGTGTTGCCCCCGTACCGGACCGGGGACCGGCAACGGGATTGCAACCCTCGGTATTGCCCCCGCGCCTCGCTCAGCCAGTGAGCGGGAACCGGTCTGTATGTGGGATCCGAACCCTCGGGCGGGAGCGCCGCCGCGCTTCCCAAGCGGCGCACTCATCCAGTGCGCCACCGGGCCAGCCCTACCTAACTTATTTTTATGAACTAATCCAAACTCATTCTTTCATCTTTTCCTTTATAAGAATTGAAGTCAGACTTCAATTTTCTAACTTGGCCACGATACAAAGACATATCAAGAGCTTTCATTCCCCCTCTAAAGCATCGAAACAATTAAAAGTCCTCAAAGAAACATCATGAAACCAAACCAACCCTATTTCTAAGTGTTTCCAACCTATTTCAAAACAGCCTTATGAGAATTGTTTTCCAAATGGCCCTGTAAGAAGCCAGCCACTTTTGAAATCTGATTTTCTTCTTTGTAGACATAATGTGTTTTCTATGCTTGGAAAAGCAGGGAATACCCAAGCTGGCATTCAATAGTAGCAAATATGAAATAGACGATTAAAAAAAAGTTGGAGGAATGTAAAAATCTATGTTGACTGGTTTTTACATTTACCGGACAGCATTCCCATGCTAGCATTGGCATGCACACTGGAAAAGGAAACTTTCCACCAGTCTGTCACCTGCTACTGTTTCCACTCATTCTACTGAATCCAATTTTAACAATTTTTAAAAGTTAAAAAGAGTTTTATTCCTTTTGAGTTTTCTGTTTCAGGATGTTTCTCAGGCATAACAAACACGTGTAAAAAAGGTTTTAAAAATCAGTAGGAGATTTGGGTTTCTAAATATTCAGCTGTTTAACATTCAGATAATTGCCTGCCTTTTTTTTTTTTTTTCCCCACATTTCGTCTGAATGCTTTGGCTTGGGGGAGCCCCACAGTAAGTCACTTCATCCCAACTCTCCTTACTGCATTTATAAATGAATATACAAAGAGGCCGCAAGATGCATCTGCTTTTCAACAGCTTGTGATCCTTAAGGGACAGGAGAAAGCCAGAGGTTCAGAATATTCAAGAAGAAAGTTGGGCTTCCCAAAACTTCGGTGCGTGTAAGTTTGGTATAGTCACACCTAGATATTCTTGAATCATTTTTGTTGAGGAAAACAGGCTGAGATTTTGGAGCTAGGCTAGGGCCAGAGATGGAGGGGAAATTTGTCATTTGTCTTAAAACCCAGTAGACACTCAATTCTTGTTTACATAACTGAACAAATCACAATAACGCCATATCGCACCTTCTAAGACCGAACAGTGATTTTCCTGGGCTGGAAAGTTAAAGAAGGGAGAGCTGCCTACCTACGGCTAAAGGGTCCTCAGGCCGGCAGGCGCAGCCGGGGTTCTGGTGTCCCTTTGGTTTCATCCAGAACTGCTGTGCCTGAAGCTGGCGCGATGCTGGAGGGAGGAAATACATGCGAGGAGAATCGGAGAGGAGAGGGCAGGGAACAGATGTGAGCATAAAGGAAAGTCATTTGAAGTGAAAGTGGAAGGACAAACCCATCCATGTCGTCAGGGATGTGGGATTAAGGGTGATTTTCATCTCCCTTTGTTTTTTTCCGTGCCTTCCACGTTTCCAGCTTATTAGTATGCCGTCTGTCTTTCCTAAGTTGTTCCGCCAAGAGAACAGCCCCGGTGGCCCTACCTGGCAGACAGCAGGCGCCCCGCATCGTCTTGCTCAACCAACGAACACATTCAGGGCTGTTGGCTCACCCCCCACCGCCCCGTCCTCGTGCACAGCGCCTGGCACGTAGTAGGCGCTCCCGAAACATCTGCAGAGCAAATGCTCTGCAACTTTTCCGCCCTGAGCACGTGGCGCTTTGGAAACCGGGACAGCGAATGAGGGAGTGTCTGAGCCTACAAAAGCGATTCAGGCGCGTGCGAAAGGCGGCGGCGACGACAGCGGGGCGGATGGCACGGAGCGGGGCGCCCCGCGGGGGGCTGCTGCCTGCGTGGCGCCCGAGGCGGGGGCGCGGGGAGTG